GTAGACCAGATAAAGTTAAGTCATAAATTTTGACATTAACGAATGGACGATTAAGATCTTGTTCTTTGGAGTAGAGTGTAGAAGAGATTTTGTAACAAGAAAAGAAGTTTTGAATTGTTTTAATCCAACTAGCCCAATCGTCATTATCAAAGTTTAAGTTACTTTTCAAGTCAGCAGTTAGTTTTTTGAACTAGTATGTGGTTTGGGAGAACAAGTAGGGCAATCTGCAGTTTTAAAACCTTTAAGACCACATTTGAAACAAATCACGAATCGTGGTTGAGTACAAGTGTTCAAAGTATGACCTTGTTTACGACAGCGAACACAAAAAGAGCTTTCTTGAGTAGCTTTAGTTTGAGAGAGACTATTAACTTGTCTAGAAGGGTATTTGTAGGATGAAGTGAATTTATTCATAAAGGGAGGAGAAGGTTGTGAGTTATTAGAAGAATTTGAAGAGCCAACTGAACTTGAAGTGGAATGCTTGTAGTTGAATTCAGAAATAAGAGGACTTTGTTGTACATTTGGTTCTTTAAATTGTTTGTCTCTGTCAAGGAACTTTTCATAGTTTTGGCAAGTAGCCAGAAGAGAGTCGATAGAGTCAATGTCTTTTAGAGCTACGAAGACTGAATAACATGGGCGAATATTCCTCAAAATAATCTCCAATTGTTCTGTTTCAGAAAGTTTCTTCGAAAGACGAGTGAACATTCCAGACATGATGGAAATATAGATGACGATAGGTTCATCACGGCCTTGAGTTCGGTTCCTAATCGCTTCTAGAAGTTTATAATCATAATCAAAACCACCAAAGTCTTTGATTAATAAAGAGGAAAGTTCGTTCCAAGTTAAGTTTGGATTCTGATTATATTTAAATCTGAACCAATGAAGAGCATTGTCGGTGAAAATTTCAAATGCTTGAGAGATCAACAAGTCTTTGGATAAGCCACGAGCTAAGCAGTATTCTTCAAGTTTTTGAAGAAAGGATCTTGGACAGCTTTTACCATTGAACGTGTGTCTTTTCAGATCTTTGAAGACGTTAGTTGGAGAAAAAGATTGAGGTAGTGGTGAAGGATACGGGGTATGGATCGTAACAGATGTTTGAGAAACAAGAGGAGGTTCCATGACAATCGGGTCAACAGGAGGGTCAAGTGATGGAGAGTCATTTTCAGTTGGAGGTGGAGTCAAGGATTCGAATTGTTTAGTAATAGCGTCAAATTTCATCTTCAAAGTATCGAAAATAGCTTTAAAGTCTGGATATAAGTCAGTATCTATTCGCTCCAATCTGTAAAAAACATGATTAATAAAAGTTTCTATTAATCGTAAGTATTTGGTTTCACCTTGTAAAAATTTTTCAATTTTACAGTCCAGGTAAGTCAAAGTAGAACCAATTTGAGACAAGTCATCCTCGATCGGAATTGGAGAAGTCAGAATATCTTCAGGGTGAGAATTCTCAACTAAACGCAAAACCTGTTTTTTTAGAAGCAAAACAGTATTAGCTGGTTCCTCACATCTAATCTTCACTTCGTATTCGAGTTCGGCCTTGTTAAGGAATTCGTACTTAATAACCCGTTTCATTGTTATAATTAAGTGTTAGAGTTTAAGAAATAAAAAGTTAATTAAAAATTGTACCTCTTTAAGTTATCTAGAATAAGAATATTAAAGTGATGAATGTAAGTGAAGTGTTATATGTAGGTCTAAAAATAATCCAGATAAGTTGAAAAACTAGATGAAGTTTTGTTTTAGAATTTGGAAGATATGATAAGGATGAGTAAATAAAGAGTTAAGAACGAAAGAGAAAGCAATTCAATCAAAAGGAAATGGATAAGGCGTAGCTAAGGTGAAGAAAAGAAGAACTTTTACGTCGGGCCCCACGTTGGGCGCCAAATTGTCGTAAAGCGACAATTAAAAACTAAATAACCTAACCTAACTACAACAAAACAACCAAAAATAAAATAAATTATTTAAAAATTTGAAAAGATTTACAGTTTCTTTTATAAAAAAAAGGTATGAAGGTGATGATGGGCTGTAATGATGATAGTGATTTACAATATTATTAAAAAAAAATAACAAAAATAAAGATACTGCAACGAAGTATGCACAGGCTATGCCTATGATAGGTGCACAGCGCCTGCTCTAGGTACACGCAGAATCTGGAGAAAGCACATGCAGCGTCTGGAGAAGGTACACGCAGCGCTTGGAGTAGGCACACGCAACGCCCGGAGCAGATACACGCAGCACCCGGAGTAGACACGCAGCGTCTGGAGTAGGTACACGTGGCGCTTGTAGTAGGCAAACACAACGTCCGGAGTAGACACACACAGCGTCCGGAGTAGACACGCAGCGTCTGGAGTAGGAACACGCAGCGCTTGAGACAAGCACGCTCAGCGGCCGAAGATAGCGCGGGCACTAATAGGTGGAGGCGTAGGCGTGGCTAGGCGACGACTTCAGGAGAAGGCTTGCAAGATCCCGAGGCAGTGCGGATAAAGCCTTTAAGAGGTGCTTCTCGTATCAAAGCTGAAGTGAGGACCTCTATCGGCCGATTCTTCGGCTTTTATACTTTTTGACGGATCTGGGATAAGAACGAGAAATTATTTGAAATTATTTAAATTAAAAGCAAATTTTTGTAAATGGCCAAGAAGAAAAGAGTATTTTTGAAGTAAAAACATCAGGCCGGTAACAATATTTGAATAAAAATTGCCACGACAACCAGATAAACAACGATGTCAAAACATGTCAAATTTTGGTTTTAAGCTCGTAATACAGAAACGGCAAGATTTAAGTGAAAAATGAGATATTATTTATATAGGAAAAAAGGTAGCGCAAGAGCGCGCACGAAACCCGAAATTGTAGAGTTACGGAGAACTAAATAAAAGATCGAAAAAGGTAGACTCCATTGACACCGATTTAAAAAGTGCTGATAACGTGAAAATACGAAGTGAAAATGATTTGTTATTGTGTTCTTATGAATTAAAAATATTACAGGATTCTATGGAAATAAAGGTGATGCAAAATATCCAGTTTTGAGGTGAATGTAGAAAATCAAAAACAGAATGGAAAAATAAAAATAAAATAGTGTAAAATGATATGTAAGTATGTATGTAAGCATAACACTACAACCTCCATCGACCAGAACCACAAGAATGCGTCGAATCAGGCGCAGCACACCCGCAGATCCATCGCAAGACGCAATACCGCAAGGAGCAGTAAGCATCAATGCAACTATCATACGGATGGCGCCCCCTCACAACACACCCACAAGATCCCTATCGATTTTGGTAACAAAGTTTTTATTGTTGTTATATAAAAAATATCACCAACGTATCATATTAGTACGCTACTAAGACGCCAATGAACAAAACTCCACGTATCATAGCGCTAATGCACTAAGACAAGAAGTTGAGTATGCCTGTTACACTTAAAAGTGCTACCAAACACACTCATCACCCCAATCCGAAATATAGACGACGCATCGCTATGCGCTACGACGTCGCCCACAAACGGTATGGGTGTGCGATGTCCACGGGAAATCCGTATTGCTACAACAACCCGCTTACCACCAGCACTAAGATGATATGTCTAGTACACATCGGTTAGTGAGTCCAAGTTTACCTCGGACCAATTGCTCGTGAAGCAGCATACACGCCACCATAATATTCCTTTTCAAGTCCCTAATAAGGACTAATCACTTTGCTACAGTACTAGGAGCAGTCGGTCACCCGACCACCCCATACGATGCTTATGCATCAAGGAGACCTTCAATAATAATGCTTTTGTATCATAGACCTTACTTCCATAAGTCATTCATATATAGGGTTCGAACCCACGACCCTACTATTGTAATGCATATTAATCATAGATCCTTCTATAGTATGCTTTACATAACCTTACTTTCAAATCATATAAATTTACACGACCTACTATTGTAATGCATATTCATCATGGAGACCTTCTATAGTATTGCTTTTGTATCATAGACCTTACTATCATAAGTCTCTAATATAGGACTAGTCATTGTGCTACAGTACTTCAGGCAGTCGGGCTCCCGACTACCCCATATATATGTACAACTGCAGGTATGTATCTCCGGCAGCTCCTCTATACAAAACATCTATACATGAACACCTTCCTTATGGAAGGTGTTCATGTATAGATGGAAACTTTTCTTTTATACGTGAACTCCTTCCACAACTTAGGAAAATTTTCTTTTATACATGAACTCCTTCAACAACTTAGACAATTTTCAACAAATTTTCTAATTATCTTATAAATGTTATTTATCTTTATTTTTATAATATTTTCGACTTGTATTTCTATTAATTACCTTATTTTAAATATTTTTTCAAGTTTTTAATAAATTTATTTATTATGGAAGACAATATTTTGCCTTTAATTTACTATGTTATTGGTCTAATGTCTGAAATGTATTTATATTAACTTTATGGTTATTAACGTAATTGTCTTTTTTTATTTAAAATTGATTTTAATATATATCTTTTAAGACTATTTTTGACACCCCTTTATATTGAATTTAATTATTAATAATAATATTGGGCCGTCACAACGTGATCTCTCTCCGGTCGTGTCGGTGTCGTGTCGTGCACTATAATCCTGTCCTGTGCAGATGGCTAGTTTCCGGGACGAGCCGCATTCAGTCTCAAGGACATTATTATCGAATTCGATTACGATTTATACCGTAATAAGTAGTCTACGCCAGTCGCATCTTTGACAATAAATTAATTATACATAATAGTTGGAGGCGGCGAGTAGTGGCGGCGTTAGAGCGCCACGCTTCTCATCATCCTGCGGGTGCTGTGGAACATGGAACAGGAAACCGGCAGCGACATATTCCAGATAACACCTTAAAATAATAAAAATACTACGCTAGCAAGCCCGCCTGGTTCGCGTGATTTTTATAGCAAATATTTCCCTATGAGGCTATGGAGGTTCCTTATGTTGACAGTGGCCTTCTGACAGGTCGCAATGAATAAATGAATAAACAGTAGTACCTGTATCCTTGGGAAGAGCTCGGGTGGGTGGAAGCGGCGCAGGTTGGGGTTGTTGTGCGCCTTGAGGTGCAGCAGCCGCTGCAGCCCGCTGGCCGGCAGCCGCGGGAACAGGTTGTTGCCCACGTTCCTGCGGGCACCACGTCCAGGCACGTTCGTTACACTTTTAGTATAAAAACATTTTATTGACATTTTACACCGTAGTTTTATTTTGCACATCATAACATGCAAATATTAATGTTCAATAAAGTTATATATTTTAAATTTTATAAAATTAACATTTATTGTTAATTTTTGACAATTTTTATTAGGTATGCATTTGACATTTATTAATTTTATTATTTATAGAAATAAAGATATGCATTTATTACTAAAAATTTGACGCAAAAATATTTTCAAATATATAAATTTATAGTTACGTGTAATTGATATTAATAAGCGTCTTTCCTTTGAAGAAAAGATCTACCACAAGTAGCACCAGTGGGGGGGGGGGGGGGGGTTCAGATGTTTTGATTTCCCTATTAAAAGTAACGTTAAACAAATGTCTTATGATTTAAACAAATAAAAAGGTGAATAAAAATATTAAAAAATAAATTATCATGTCAAGTAAACATTGTACATTCGCGAATTGCACTTTTCTGACAGTCGATACAAGTAAGATGGTATAAAATTTGTGCCGTTTATAAAACCTCAAGTTGACACGAAAAAATGTTAAAAGTGGATTGGATCATGTTAAATCGGTTCTTCGAGATGAATCTCCAAGAATCGTTTTAACAATTGGAAAAAAAGACTTATGTGTGTACTAGACATTTTAAAAATCCAAATGGTCCAACAATAGAACATCCAAATCCGTTATCAGCGACTATATCAACAATTAGTAACTGTTCATTTTATGCGCTTACGTTCTAGAGGTCAATCCATTACTTATTAAAATTTAAATACTTTCATTAATCGGTATTTGCATACTACATATAATCGGTTTACTAATTGGTTGTATTTTTTTAGTTTGCCAAAGATCGTAAAAGAAAACAGAAACATGTTGAAGAGGATTTAAATTCTGTTGTACGTAAACGTCTAAGACTTGTCAGTTCTACTGATAATTCATGTACTGAAATAAATAGTACTGATTCTTTGAAAATTTTTATCCTTATTATAACTTGATTATTTCATAAAATTGTAATAATAATAATAATAATTTAGTATATAAGTAAAGATATTGCAAATTATTTTCATGGTAAATTAAATTTACAAATCATTTATCGTCGAGTTCCTGATATAAATTACATCTTAGTATATCTTATACTTAAATTAGGTACCTAAAAATATACATACTCCTGAAGAGAGTATAACATCTACCATATTTCCTTTTAATAACTATACCGGTTTTTTTATCTTTAGATTTTTCTTATTTAAGTACATAATTTATTTGAATAGTTCTAATTTGTATTGTATTGATTGTTTGATATTTGTACTCCAAATTAACCCAAAATTGCACGACTCATTCTGTGAATGTTATGTACACTTGTTATTGATATACATATCAGAGAGTATAGAAATGTGTATGTTTTCGTGATTGTTAGAGAGAGTTAGAGAATAAATGGTAGAATGTATGGTCTCTTTAATAATTAATAAAATCATTATAATTGTATAATGATCTTAATAGTTATTAAAGATTGTATTACAATCAATAAGAATGAATTGAATTGAGCTAATATAAAAACAAAATGTACTAATGACATGCATCCATAAAATGACGCACAACAATAAAATGTAAGAATCAAATAAAAACTTACAAGTCCTCCAGCTTAGAGATAGGAACAAAGGTCTCCATATCGATGTGTTCTATTTGGTTGCCCTCGAGGTCTCTGCAAGAGGTGTAAGCATATTTGGTACAACAATATTTCTATAATGACAGAAGTCACAATGACCATACATCATCACCGCCGTCACTATCAACCCATAAAAGTCTAACGCTGCGTGTAGGCCTCCCTCGTCGTTAGACCGATTTGTCTCCAGTCTGGTGCAGCACCAGACGTCTCGCACCTTTGAAGTTGCTTCTTGTCGCCAGTTAAATCCTATTCACTATAGGATAAATTCATATCTAGCAGTGAACTAAGAAGAAGAAAAGAATAATTGGTACAATTGTGGTGGGCTATCTATGAGCCTTACCATATTATAACATAGCGTCACGGCTGTAATCCACGAGGAGGTAGGAAATGTCCAAACAGCTGCAAGCTACTTGGAACACGCGGTTAGCCAAAAAACATGGGTTTAAACGGAAAATTATGAAGTAGTGAAAGGTCACCGAAAAAGTCGATCACCTACACAGTCACAGCCCTAATATTCCATTAGTCACCTTTACGACATGCTACGTAACTAACGCACTGGACACATTATGTTATGTTTTAAGTCTCACATAAATACGACATAAGTCGCAGACAAACAGAAGCCGCCAGTAAATATTAAGCTAATATCACTGAATTCAGTAACAAACTTTTTTAGACAATTCAATTTAAACTTACAAAGAACGAAAACCCAGTAAGTATAAACATGCAAATTTTATGGCGTCAGACAGAATTTGTTACATAAGATGTTTTCGCTGCAAATACATTGAATGAAGCCATCTTTACATAGTTAATTAAAATGGTTTGCTTTATTGTAGTGGCGGTTCTGGAGCGACTGAAGCAACGATATCGCGACACAGGGCGTTTTTTTATTCGGGTGTATTGAAGCATGAAAAATTATGTCGCGATTTAGCTCGATCGCTGACGCCGCTCCGGTGAGCTGTGGCGATCCTGCTTCGTCATTAGCAGGAGCTGGCTAAGTTGTTTCACACAGGCTTTTTACTACACAATGCACTTCTATAAAGTGTTATGAAGAAAAGCAACAAATGTAATATTTTTGTTAGGTGTATGTGTGGCAAAACGGGTCGGTTTTATAATTAGTAGAACAATAAACTAAAGAAAAGTAAAATTACAGCCTATATACCGTCCCATTGCTGGGCACAGACCTCCTCTCATTTCTGAGAGGGTTTTAGGGCAAGGAAGTGTGCGTCGCGCTGCCCCAATGCATGTCTCAAACATGCAGGTTTCTTCACGATGTTTTTCTTCAGCGCTTAAAAATGCAATTACAATTTCATTGGTCCCAGCGGGAATCGAACCCGTGTTGCTCGCGTACTGTGAAGTTTACAGCGAGCGCTAAGCTCCTAAGCTGCCACGGCTCGGTCTAATAATAATTTAAAATAAATGTTTTGAAACCAATACAAGTGTTTATTCAAATCACAAAAATAAAGCTGGAGTTTCACCATGTGACAACAATATAAAAGTTATGTATACAGGTAGTTTATAGAAAACAAAGACAAAAAGGGGAAGTAGTAAAAAGTATTAAGAATAGTATTTTTATGCTTCTTCTCAGAAATAATTAATAATAGTATTTGCGATGAGACTTTCAAAATGCGTTATCCTCTATGTGGACTAACATGAAACGCCTCGTTTCAAGTAAGAAGGGATAAGGGCGTCATCTGCTATTTTACTATTGCGGTACTATGCGTTTGCCGGTTCGCTTGCCACGCATGGCAATTATGGCAAATGAGGCTATGAGGCAATTTATGGGGGAGGCCTATGTTCAGCAGTGCACTTTAATGTGTGTAATGGTGGAGGAGGAGCAGCGGGCACACTGACAGCAACTGCAGGCGCGGCGTGTGCTGGAAGGCGTCGGCTGGCAGGCGGCGCAGGCGGTTGCGCGCCAGCTGCAGGTCCAGCAGCCGCCTCAGTCCGCGCAGCGCACCGCCACCCACCTCCGACACCAGGTTATCCGACAGCGACCTGCGAAAAAACCACCTTTGTATATACCATATACAGTAAATGCTCATCTCGTTAGAAGCCCATTTGTATTTATATAAATGTGTAATTTATGTTATTTATTCATTTTTATACATACATGTATAATTTTTAAATTATATTATGCAAATAATATATTATACCTTTTGTAATACAAATATATGTATGGATATATGTAATATTTTGTGGCCGTGGAAGGAAAAGTGGAGATCCCCCGCCGGGCAAGGTGTTCTGCCCGGGGAGCGGCCAACGCTCCGTGTGATAGTTCGGAACTGTTCTAATACTGTTTATGATGCGGAACTTTGATAGCGCGATTAAAGCTTCGATATGTTTCGCTTGTGGCGCTTGTTTTAAGCATATTTATTTAATTTAATAAATATTTCCATGTTTTAATATTTTACAAACCTACCTATATTTTTACCTCTGTATCACCAAAAGATATTGTGGTAGGTTATTGGTCATTACCATTGTCATTGACTAAGGCATTAAGACCGCCTATACATACATCATAAATGATATTAATTAAATAAATAAATGTTAATAAATACTGCCTCGTTAGTCTAATGGTGGTAAACACAGTTGCTAATCATGGGGCCCGGGTTCGAATCCCGAATCCTCAGTAGCAGTCCCGAGTCAGGCAGTTGGCGATCCTGCGCCTGATCTCCCTCCGTTCGTGTCGGTTCACCGTCCCATCGGACTATGGGAGTGGGGGAATAGAGAGCGCGCCTGTACTATAATCCCGTCCTGCGCAGATGGCCGCCCTGACGAAATTCGGTCTGTAGGATATTATATTCATATTGTTTGTACAGCCTCTTCTGTACGATCGTTCATCTATCTTGTACAATAAATTAATTAAAAGTATAATAATACTGTGTCACTTTGTGTTAAGAACTGAGGTGAATCGAGTGAGATGTGAGTAGGCGGACGCGACGTCTCGCATGAGGATGCTGCCACGCGACCGACGTCTCGTCTCGATCGAAGTCATTTGTAGCTGCCCGCCCGAGACGTTACGACAAAAAACGTGTCAGTGACATACCTAAATGTCATTTTTACATGTAATAATGATAATAATTTCTTATATTTACGCGAACACTACACATTGAATAAAACTATTATATACGGATTTTATCGCGTTTAATTACCGCTTTAACTTATTTTTATTACCCCGACATTTCGGGTGCTTTATAGCACCCATGGTCACGGGGGGGACTGAGATGTTTGACGTCCCAATGTGACAGTTAGTCTGGCTACCTTCAATTTTTGAATATTAATTTTTGGTCCGATTTACGCAAAACGAGCTTATGGTATCATGAAGTCTTGCAGTGATATGCTTGGGTTTGGGTTTTATTTTTTTAATATATATATATATATATATATATATATATATATATATATATATATATATATATATATATATATATGGTCATTTATTTCCAATCACAATGGTACATAAAACAAAAAAAATACTTAGATTATTGTCTTAACTCTATGATACAATTATTGTAAAATTGACCATTGAGAAAGAGCGGAATCCGTAGTAGGATACCCTGTGTTACAGTGTTCCGACCCCCGCACACTCGGACTTGATTCATATAAATTTCTAGTATCATAATTGTTAGTATGATTAAAAAAAAACATTCTTTATCTGCTATAATTTTGTGTGTGTGTGTGTGTGTATGTGTGTGTGTGTGTGTGTGTGTGTGTGTGTGTGTGTGTGTGTGTGTGTGTGTGTGTGTGTGTGTGTGTGTGTGTGTGTGTGTGTGTGTGTGTGTGTGTGTGTGTGTGTGTGTGTGTGTGTGTGTGTGTATGTGTGTGTTTTCAAATATTTTATTACAATATGTTAATTATACTTACATTCCATTCTTTATTTATTGCATTGTTTTTAGCATATCTTCTGCTTCAGAGTAAGATTTTAACTGTAGGAATTTAGTTACTATTTATTTACAGGTGTAGCGTAGTTTAGAGCAGATGTTCACAGCCTGATTAACTTTGTTATACAATAAAGGTCCCAGAAAAACATGTTGTCGTTTTGCAAACGGTGATGTCTCTTTAGGAATCCTGAATATTAGATCTTTACGTCGTTTATTCATGTGAATAACGTGATCGAAGGTAGTTTTAGCATGATTGTGTAATATTGATTTTAAGATATACAGTTGTCGAACTGACAAGATATATATATATAGGAAATAATAAAAAAAATATATATATATATATATATATATATATATATATATATATATATATATTGTTCCTTTTTAAGCCTGTTTTACAAAAACAAAAAGGTTTAAAACATAGATACATAAATACGAGAGTATATTTCATTTTATCGCGTCAAAGCAAAGTCACGGCCGAACTTTTACGGCTACAAAAATCGACGAAAACACTTTACACAACATAAAGAGAGCATTCACCTTCAACGCAATTTATTGCGTAAGTTACAAACGAGGATACAGCCCTCATCTTCTAGTGAGCGATCACTGCGGCACGTTACACAACATTTATCCATCTCAGATGAAAAATGAAGACATAGGCTTTGTCACCCCTGAGAGCTGAAATGGAATGCCTCGTATCGGAACACCAATTACCTAGTAGGTGCGAGTGATTGCGGTTCGATTGTCACTCACATAGTATTAACTACAGCACAAAATCCTAGTGTGGATGTAATGTTGAAAAAAACTGTATCTGTATTATGGCCGTCATAAACTGTAATCATGAAATGGTCTACGATATAAAGCTTAGATAGATCAGATATGTATTGTAATGTATTGTATGTGTGTCATTGTCGAAATGAAAGCGATAGTGTTGGCGCACGGAAATTTAATTTGCATTAAGAAGTTACATATGTGTGACAAAGAGCCTTATTTTAAGGAGAGTTGATACTTTTTTATTTCTTTGAAATATAATGTTACCTCCGCACTAGAATTTCCTCCTATATCGTGAGGGTAGTTTCATTCATAAATTTCACAAGGACAAACACCCAAGCCTGGAATAATTACTTGTAGGCCATACAAATACTCATTCCGTGCGGAATCCGAATCCGGGGCTCTTAGCGCTGTAACACATTGTTGAGCCACTGCGTCACGGAGCCGTCAGATATTGAGTCAAGAGGTGGCGCTGTCATCGCACTACAATAGTTTTAAGCATGAATACATAGGTACTATACATTATAGTATTCTGTGGTATAAACGTACCGAACAACAACCGAAGATTAAAATCACGCTGTCAAAGTTTCCGAACAACTTTGAACACTTATTTCGATATAAATATAAAAAGTTCTCGCTGGGTTTCTTGCTGGTTCTTCCCAGGCCAGAGGTTTTTTTTTTTGATTAAAATTATTGTTTGTTTGTTCTATAGAACAAACTCCGCACTATATAACAGAACTCTGTTCAATCCCTGAGCTGAAAACCTTCCCGGAAGGAGATCTACCCTTTTCCTTTGCAGGCCAAGTCGCTACAACTAGTGACAAGCTATAATCTGCTTTTTCTCATTTGAAATAAAAATGTTTAATATTGTAAAAAGGTCTCCTCTAAATAATGGTCCAGTTCTGCTGATGTTTTAATTTAGTTATTTTTTTAATCGTACCTACACGAGCACGCAGTCCACATGACAGTAAGTGGAGGCTGTGCTGTGAGCCATAGTCATATCTACATTTATACTTAATTAAGAATCAAAATACAGATGTGTTACCAGTTATTACATATCCAGTAAAAGGGATCTTCGGTTCTCTACACTCATCATACGAAACACAGTAGCATTAAGCTGCTATTTTACGCTGGTATTCTGTGAGAGTGTGGTCCTTCCTCGGTCGAGCCCACCCATCCGTGTTACAACCATATCATAGCTACAGCGAGGTTCTACCACGTACTCGTATATTGTTATATACATGAATGGAAATTTATTTCATAAGCTCCTTATTTCATGTAATAGTAGAAAAGTGGCAGCTTATTTTCTTCGTAGAAATAAATTACACTAATAAAGTACATTCTACCACAACATGTGCATGCAAACTTCTTACAATATTTATTATTTAGTCCTTTAAAAAGTACGTGTAAATAATTGAAAACATAATAACAAAATGACATTAGTCAAAATATGCTTAAAACAAATCTTATTACGCTTGTGTTTGCGGGCGTAGTCGTTGACCTGATCCACTCGCACTTTGATATGGATTTGGCTTAAATATAAATACACGCAAGCACGCGCACGCGCACGCGCACGCGCACGCGCACGCGCACGCGCACGCGCTCGCACACGCACACGCACACGCACACGCACACGCCCACGCACACGCACACGCACACACACACGCACACGCACACGCACACGCACGCCACACACACACACACACACACACACACACACACAATTGATAAACACATGACCCATAAATAAAAAGCTTGAGCTATTTACGTTTATGAGTGCAATGATGTATGTACATATAGTGCATATATAATATTTCAATAGAATTGGGGTGACAGAGAGGTAAACAACCCAACTGATGGTGAACTGAATTGGATGCTATGGCCCATAGATATACATCGATTTTTGATTAACATCAAAATGCAGATGCGTTGTTACCTAGGCATAGTAGAAAGAGAAGTTCTACTGTGCCCGAGCACCAAGATGGAATGCCTCGTTTCCAGTAAAAAGGGTGTCCGGTTCTCTACACTCACCATACGAAACAAGAAGTGCTATCACCATAATATACCTGCAGTATGGTTTTACCACGTAAAGTATATGTCCAATTAGGTTGAGTTACAAAGATATATAACACATATGCAACATGGCGATGTACTCACAACACTCGCAGCTCGGAGCAGTCGTGTAGGTCCGGCACGCTCTCCAGCAAGTTTGACCGCACGTCCCTGTACACAACAATACAATAACTTTATTAAGCAATTTCAACAATTAACATTTAGCAATTTCAAATAATAAGTATATTATTTGAAATTGCTAAATGATGCTGAAGTAATAAAAATAGGCAACCATAAAGATAAAGCTCGTATTGTAAAACGGAGAATTATAAAATTTTGACATTATATAACAAACTTGCTAATTAAATTAAACTTGCAACGAATTGTATTGTTGCGCGCCTAAGTTGACGTCATGTACCCGGCACTAGCGCCATCTAGTGTCGGGGACAAGAGCGAGGAGGGCTTCCTAGAAAATGTCAATCTTGACTTTCGACCAACAGCGCCATCTAGTATCGAACAGTAGAATTAAGCTTTCTAGAAGCCCCACACTCGAACTTTCTGCGCCTGGTCGGTTTGCGCTCGTATTTATTTGAATATTCTGGATGTTTCAGTGCAAAATGCGATCGGGGCAGTATTGAATTTGGCGAGACAAGCGAAGCTTCGGAGCGAAATAAAGTGAATCAGTGTGATTAATTAATAGTGTTTTAAGTTTTAATTGGTGTAAAGTGAATTAAAGTGTTAATTTTGGTAATTCAATCGGCAGTTTTTATTGTCACGAACCTTAAGCTCGTAACAGTATATTTGGCCACACGCCGAATATACCGAATATTCTGCGGGCTTCCTGGCCGAGTAGAGGAATATTAGGCAAAGTATTCAGCTGGAGAGTAGTGTTTATTCAGAGCGACTATTCTCTGAAGCTGGGATTGTCTACGAGAGCAGTAAACTACTGCCTGAAAATGGAGTTACAGTACTTCTAAATATTAATTACGATAATTCAAGTGCATAGACATTTCATAGTTTCTTTGTTAGTTTTTATAATACGAAGTTAATTATGTACTTATGACTACTTTAATAATTACAAGAAAATCACATTAGTATAAAACAATGTTTTCATTTTACCAACTATCTGACTACAACAAAACATTTTACTTCAGTATGCGGTATTCGGCCGAATAGTACCTACCTATATATATTCGGTATTTGATCTAATTATCTAAAGTAGTTAAATAGTCTGAATATCGTATAATAACCCAATATTCATTGTAAGTATAAATTAAATGGTTAAGAAATAATGACTGGAGCTTAGCCGTATACAGGCAATCTTTTCATTGAATGAAAAGTTAAAAAGGTACTGTTAAATGCAAATAAGAGGTGGTTATATTTCGTTGCTCATTTGAATGCAAACGTATTTTATGTGCGCAACAGTCAAACAATGATATCAAATCTATACAATCAAGAATGTAAAATAGACGACGCTTCTCGAAGATATATTGTATGTAAGCGAGCTCAGCGGCAAATATCAAAATAAAACAGTGTTCTTGTTGTTTGCCCCTTTTAATCGACTTTAAAAAAAGAAGAAGATTCTAAATTCGACAATATTTTTTTAATGTGTTTAAAGGCAATAAATTTCTACAAGTTTTAGTTGTACTTGCTCAGAACCTTTTTCTAGGTAAATCGATTTTGACGAATCTTTTTCTATTTCAAAGCGTGTGATTTTAATATGGTCCCAAATAAATTTGATCAAGATCTAACCAGTAGTTTTCGAGTTATTCTTAATAATGTTTATTTAATTGACTTCGACTATATTGATGATGTTCCCGTTTTATTTATATTGAAGTCGGTTGTACGAAATTTTTAATTTTACTACTTGTTTTAAAACAGTTACACCCGCACTAGGATTCCTCAAGAATAATAGAATTACACAAGGACAAACTTCCAGATCGGAACCATTACCTGAATGCCATACAAATACTTGTTCCGTGCGGGATTCGAACCCCAGGCCACGCACGTTTAATGATATTTGTTGGAGCATTAAACGACTGTCAAAGTAAAGCAGTATCTAAAAAAAATCGTGGTTAATTATGGCATTGGGACGTCGAACACCTCTGTTTCTCCCACGACCATGGGTGCTATAAAGTGCTTGAATTGCTTATATAAATTTTGAAGCTTTTGCATGGCCACAGTCATCAACTGTTCACTTCTCGACTTTGGCAATAATGATTGTTTTAGTGGTATTTCCACCAGGAAGTAACCAGCTGACTACAAATATATTTAGCACTTAAAGTTAATGGTTGTTGTTTCGTTTATATACATGTATATTAATTATGTTTATCGCCGAGTGTTTTAAGTAAATAAATAGATTAGAGGAATGTTTGGCGAGGCGGGGATTTACGGGAGCAGTTGATTGCAGCGGCCTCGCGCGACGCAAATAGCAAACATTGTTGCAATTTAACCATTGTGTTTGTGAGAAGATAGATCTTCATAATGAAACTCTATTTAAATACTACAAACCCACTGCTACGGTTTTTGCTTTTATCAATTAAAAGCAAACATTTTAGTTAACGTGACAAATAATTTCAATTTAAAATTGTATTTTTTATGATTCTTCTTATTCGAAAAATATATTGTTATACTTTGGCGTACATTTAATAATAAATTACCATTTAATTGGTAATACACACCCATCCATGCTTATGGATAAAAGCTTTATTGTGATATCTTGGCTTGACCTAATACTTTTGTGCATTATTTATTCGGAATGGAATTTCTTTGAATACAACTAGTTTTACGGTTTTTACCGCGTTTTTTTGTAGAATAACGGTGATAAACGAGCACACAGTCCACCTGATGTTAAGTAGATACTGTGGCCTATACAAATCTATTTTTATCTTCCGCTACAAATCAATTTGTAGATGCGTTATCACCCCTGAGGACTAAGATGGGTTGTTTCGTACCCAGTAAAAAAGGTTTCCAGTACACTCACCATAGGAAACATAGACGAGTTGAGCTGCTATATTACGTTGGTATTTTGTGAGAGTGTGGGCCTTCTCTGGTCAAGCCGACTCACATGTGCCACAAACATAATATAGCTGCAGCATGGCTCTACCACGCTGCATATTTTTAATAACTTAGGAACTAACTATAAAAGGGACCAATGAAACAAGTTTTATTCAATGTGTAATGTTCGCGTAAATATAAGAAATCATAATGGAAATTCTATTAAAATTAAAATGTAAAAATGGGATATTTGTATGAGTATAACACACGAGGTGATGCTTACTACATGTAATAATAACGGCAGTGGACTTTATTGACAAAGAAGACGGAAGGATAAGAAGAAAAAGCAGGATGCATGGTGTGGCAGCTCACCGCATTCGGTTAAAACGGTGAAGCAATGAAGGTTGGTAAAGGTAGTGAAGTCGGTGAAAATGGTGAAGGTGATGAAGGCGGCGAAGCGGTGAGGACGGATAAAGAGGTAAAGACGTAGAACACGCTTAAGAAGGCGCAGACTGTGAAGGCAGTGAAGGTGGTGTAGACGGTAAAGGCGACGAAGCGGTAAAGGTAAAGACTAAAAAAACAGAGATGGCGGTGTAGACGTAAAAGCGGTGTTGACGGTAAAAGCTGTGAAGGCGGTATAAGGTTCAAAGACGGTGGCAGCGGGAGGGTACGCAATACGCACAGCGCGCGCAGCTGCGGCGCGTGGCGGCACAGGTCGGGCGGCAGCGCCTTGAGCCGCGCGCGCTCCGCACGCAGCGTGCGCAGCCGCGCCGCGCCCACCAGCGCCGGCAGCGAGCGCAGCCCGCGCGCCTCCGACACCTCCCTGGGCACACACGCACCACTTATGATAATCACTCATTAAAACACTACTTTTTGACGGCTTCAATAGTGGGAGGCAATTCAGAATTTCAGAATTTATTATAACAAAATCGAAGGATACAGTTTGGTGTTGCAGCTACTTATCTATCATCTACATTCAAAATTTAATTACTTACACCACTCGAGAGCTAAGGGACCAAGGAATACATTACTTTGAGTAAGGATTGAGACGCATCGTGCGCGGCTGTGGAGGGAACGCGGCCGATTTCAGGTCGCTTGTTACGTACACATATTTACGTAAAATACATGGCCGTTTCCTCGACACAGCCATATCCCGGTTTTTTTTGAAGAGGACGCAAATGAACATACGGCTTACCTGATGGTAAGTGATCACCGTCTCACATAAACATCTGTAACACCAGGCGAACTGCAAGGGTGTTGCTGACCTTTTAGAAAGAAGTAGGCTCCTATCTTGAAGCGTTATTTTTTTTACTTAGTAAACAGCATTTACTTATATATTAATTTATTTATTTATATAGGAAAACAAAACAGAATAGCACCAAAACATGAACAATTGAAAATACAATCTGGATGGTATTCCAAAACAAGTGCACACAACATGATATTAAGTAACAGTAACGATTTTACAGCAAAAATAATTTAACAACCTTACTTATAAACATATTATACTTATGAACTTATGTTGTGGAAAATTATGAAAAATTAAATCTTTATTATAATAATGTTCATTTACCTTTATATTTAAATTTAAATTTTAAGCCTTGAATCCATTATTTACAAAATATATCTAACACGGATTTTCTGAAATTGTTTGTTTTGCTTTGTTATTAAAAATGTCAAATAGGCTACACATTCTTACAAGAGGATTGTTATAGGACGTATTATTTTTATAAACTTGCAAAGCGAAATATTTAGGAAAGTATACCGACGATGGGGCTTGGTCTTTACAAATGAAAGGAGGGTGGGGGAATCAATAATCATATCCTGATATTTACACCGAGTTAGTAGTGATATAATGTTAAACTTTTTCAGTTTCTCTTTATAGAAGGGCAGACTTCTATTTAAACCGTACCTATGTATAGCAGAGGATTGATAGAAATTTCTTTTGAACACGTTCAATACGATCCACGTGGACAGCGTAGTATGGAAACCAAATAATTATGTTGTACTCTAAAATACTGCGGACTAGGGAACAGTACAAAATAAGAAAGCTTCGTGGATTTTTAAAAGTCTTTGCAGTTCTAAATATAAAGCCAAGAAGTTTTGTACTTTTAGATATCACATGATCGTAATGATCTCGGAACGTAAGCTTTTCATCAAACAGTATTCCAAAATCCTTAACTACGGATTTTCTATCAAGTACCTGTCCATTTATTTTATACTCAAATGAAAGTATGTGTTTCTTGTTTCTAAATGATAAGACAAAACATTTTCTTGTATTCAGATGCATTAGGTTTTCTTTGCACCAATTATGAATGGAGTCTAAATTCGACTGAAGATTTAACGAATCGCTGAGTGTATATCGATAACGGAAAAAAGCTTCAAATCATCTGCATACATCTGGCATGGACATTTACATTATTTGTTGAACGTACGTAATATGATGTCTACTTAGCAATCTACTTTCGGTGTATGTCGCCGCTGCACGTATTTTATAACTTAAACAGTATATAATAATTTTTTTGACAACACGCGTGTTTATTTTATAAACAGTTTTGTTTTATGAGTGCAATGAAGTTATATTTCTATATTTTAGGGGAAGTTATACTTCAGCGCACTCAGCATATTTCTTCGAGTCAAGCAACTATTCAACTTATGAAAATAATAGGAGCATCAAACTGAAGCTCCTTCAAATATGTAGGAGCTTCAGTTTGATGCTCCTATTTTTTTACTTTCAATAGAAAGTAAATGCTAAGCCATTCAACAAGTTCCTACTTCTGAGAGACTTTGTGTAGGTATAGTTCCCGTATATGAACGAACGAATACGTTTTTAGAATTACGGAAACGACGTACATACGTTGTCGATTGCAAAGATCAATACACAGTCGATTTATCGTTACGATATTCATTACCAGGGTTTTCGGTGCGATGTTGTCTGCGATCAAGTAAATCGCTAATGATAGCAACATACACTACAGATCTGTCGTTTCCATTAGTTTGAACCGACGGATCGTAATTACGGACCGTACCGTATCTTCAAATAAAGAAGGAGTTCAAGACTTCTCAGTGGTAAGTGACTGTTGTAACCTGTAGGTTTTTCCACTATATTAACTACAGCCTATCAAAGTGCAACTGCTACACGTAGTCCTGTGATCGCCTCATAAGGGCTATAGCCAGTATATACGAGTATTTGCTACCAATTAAAAAAATAGACGCGTTGTCACCTCTGAGATCTAAGATAGAATGATTTACAGCCTATATTATACTAGCTTTATATTCTGGTCTTTATTATCTTTAGGCAGAAACACAGCAGTTGTTTGGTGCCAGAATCAAGTAGGTGAGAAAATAGCACCAGGCCATTTCCTACGATAAGGAGGAGTACTACCAACTAGTGTTCCTTCTAAACTTTAACGTGGTAGACTCACGCTGCAGCTATATTATGTTTGTAACACGAATGTGTCATCTTGATCCTTCCCCGGTCAACCACGCTGTCATAGAATACCAGCATAAAATAGCAGATTAATGCTGTTGTTTTCCGTATGGCGAGTGTAAAGCAGAGACGCTTTTAACTGGAAACGAGACATTCTATCAGACATATTAGTCCTCAGGGGTGGCAACACATCTACATTTGGATTCTTAACCGAAGATAGATGTAGATGTTTATAGGTCTCAGCATCATTTTACCACCAGGTGTATGCTCATACTGTGTGCTCGTTTGTCACCCCAATTCTATAAAAATAAAATAGATTCTCACATAGTACTTATTACAAACCCAATTTTCATTTAGGCTTGGAAAATAGGTACCTTTATTCTGGGAAGTGCCAACAAATAATTCAGCAGGATTAATTTTGGAAATATAAAAATTAACAATAATGTTAAACAATTATTCATATGAATGATATAGACACGGCTTGTAAATTTCATTGGGATCACTTCGTAATAATATGCTCCAGGCCAAATTTCTGTCAGGGCGGCCAATGCCTCTTGCGCAGGACAGGATTGTATGCAGTGTCCGAGTATATGAGACGGCAATTCGACACGTCTGGAGAGAGATCAGGTACAGGACGTCTTTACATGTTTTCCGAGGCACGAGGGTGAAAAACTCTATAACTGATTTTGACCTGTCCTGGGATTCGAAACCAGGACCTCATGATCAGCAAACGCGTTTATTATCGTTAGAAAAATGAGACAGTCAAATCATCAGTCATCATCACAAGACTAATACTGAAGTAGACTAACTAAATAATAAAAAAAAGTAATATAAACCTATAAAAATCTTTCTAGTAGTGTTTTTACTTCCTCGCGATATTGTTTACATATCCGCAGACTGTTTTTTAGAAGCGTGACAATCGAGCACAAAGTGCACCCGATGGTTAGTGAATATTGTGTCCCACAGAAAACTATATTTTTGATTAAGAAACAAAATGTAGATGCGTTATTAGGAAAAGTAACATGGAATGTCTCGATATCAGTGAAAGCGTTCTACAGTTCTCTACACCCACCATACGAAACGCCGTAGCATTAGCTGTTATTTTACGATGGTGTCCCCGGTCGACCGGACTCATTCGTTACGCAGCATGTACCCGGCGCTGCTGCGTTAAACGATACTGGAGGCTGTCAATAGCCTGGGTGTAATTACGGTGTCACATAGCTTTTCTTGTTATCTCTAGTTCATCTAATAGTGAGGAGTGCACGAGTCGTGGTGGATCAGGTGTTAAGAGCTCGTTTTAATATTTCTTTTACGCGAGCAAATTGATTTCATTTCCTGTCCACACGGTGGCTTGTTTGTAATAACTATGCCGTACCCAGTACCAAACATCATTACGAAACCTTTAAGTATTTTAAGTATACGATTCTCTAATAACTACATTAAAACTAGTTTTTGATTCCGTATGAATCTAAAATCCACTCTTTGTTACGTTGACCAGCTAAAACAAACTAAATTTATCGATTATAGGCCCATTATGACACATGGCCACTTGCCAGGAATAGGGTAGCAGACATAATGAAACAGTTTATATACTCTATAAAACTATAGTCTATTTACTATTAAAAAGTAATTCATATTCGCGTACGTAATTATTATTCAGTAATTGCACAAGGGACTATTCTTGGCCCACTTTTACTTACTGGATTTAAATACAATTGATGCCATGCTACTAAATGTATTGTATGAGTTGGCAACCATGTACAATATTGTATTATAAGTAAAATATTTACTCGTACTGTAAATATGGTATTTAAGCTAGTACTTAAACAATGTAAAAGGTACTATAAATTTGGTTCAACTTGGTATACCACCCTTAATACCTACTTCATAATTATCTTTCATTACCGCGTATCGAAAGTCTACTGCTGAATAGCATGTTTGTTATAAATGCCACGCTGGGCAATCTGGACGGCTGATTTTACCACATTACCCCAGAAGGAGGATATTTTATTTTATGTATGCATGTGCAAAATGTATGTATATCTATTCCTTTGGCACAGCCTGTAGCCTACACCGATCACAATAGATCTTTTAGATCGCAGTAATACTGGTCTCTTCCCCTAGACCTGCATAGCTGCTCTCAAATAGCCTACACTGCTTGATGGATTTCATGTAAAGTGTCGTTAGATTTGTCTTAGTTGTGCAAATGACATAAGGCATGATTTTTTTCTCTTTTAAGAAAATTTTTGAGCACAGTCAGTATTTTTAGTTACTATTTTACTTTGCACTTGTTCATTACTTTGAGTGGTTGTCAGACTGCTGTCCATCTTTAATATTTTTGATAACATCTGGGGTAATGTGGGAATTAACATAAAGTATTTTCAAAACCTAATTTTGTACTTGATGATATTTAAGAGCTTTATATGTTTTTATCCAATTTCATAAGATCTAACATTACATCAAGGGTACTTAATTGTCACAGAGGGATAAAGTAGGAAACTTATAAAAAAGACCAATCCTTTAGCCCCATTTACGAAATTTTAAGCCACCTCAACGTGGTGGAGCCACGCTGCAGCTATATGTTTGTAACACGAATAGGCCATCTTGACCGGGGAAGGTCCACGCTCTCACAAATTACCAGAGTAAAATAGCAGCTTAATGATATTGTGTTTCGTATGGCGAGTGTAGAGAACCGGAAACCTTTTTAACGAAACGAAACGAGGCATTCCATCTTAGTACTTAGGGGTGACAACGCAACTGAATTTTGATTTTTAATCGAGAATAGATGTAAATAGATATAGGCCACAGCATCCACTTACCGTCAGATAGATTGATTGAAAAAAAAAAACTGTCTGAACGGATGTGTAAGAAATAATTAACTAAGGTAAAGTATGACTTATTTTTGTAAGTTATGTAACATTGTGATATTTCAGGTTGCTCTTTTACTCGTTTTATGTAAGGATGTCGTACAAATAATTTTATATACGTTTCGAACGGATCAATACAAAGTATTCACTTACGATTCATTGTCAGTAGTTATGAGATATTGAGCTATTTAGAAATATGGTAAAATTATACAAGTTAAACTGCGGTTCTTACGTAGAGCTGTTTTGTTCTTTGAGTATAGGAATTTTGTTAAAATATTATATGTATACATGTCAGAGTCCCAGTGCTGGGCACAGGTCTCCCCTCATTTCTTAGAGGGTTTTAGGGCAAGAAAGTGTCCGCCGCGCTGCCCCAATGCGTGTTGACGAACTTCACATGCCTTCGAAATATTTTTTTTATTTCTCAGATCAGCAGGTTTCCTCACGATGATTTTCTTCACCGCAGAGTACGTGGTAAATTAGCACTTGAAATTGCAATTAACAATTTCATTGGTGCTGGCGGGGCTCGAACCCGGGTTGCTCGCGTAGGTACTTTGAAATTTATACCGAGTGCTAACCATCTGAGCTATTACGGATCTCTTCCATCTAAATAATGTATTAAATTGGTCGCATTAAATGGAGACAGTAGTTTAAGCACTAACATTTTTCTTTTATGCATATTATTACTTATATACCTTTTAACCTTTTGTATATATTTAAAGGCATAAGGTAAAGGTATAATAAATTTAGCATAATTAGAGCTAAATAAAATTTAAATCTAAGTATGCTACTAAGTATGTACTTAGTGCTAATTTATTTACTTACTTTTAAACATGGTACTTCAAAGAGCCTTTAACTATTACACGATGATTTCTATTCTTTTGAAAAATACCCCGATTGTTTGGCGTCTTTTTAAA